TCCTCCCCTTTTATTTTTTTCCTTTAAAAAAAAAATGTTTCCCATATTTTAGATTTGCCAGTGACTTTCACAGATATTACAGTGCTAGCTGTTTTAACAGATAAAATCTCAATTACAGTGTCCTAAAAATAGAAGTTATCCCTCAAACTCCAAGATGATTGAGGCAGGCTTTCATAGGTTTCCAGGGACCCAGGCTGTCTTCATTTTAACATCTCACCCTCCTCTAGGGTCTGGGAATCCTCTCCATTCATCCAGCAAAACAGGGATGGAATGAACATTCAAACAGGGAGGTTTTGATGGACCAGGCCTGCAAGTGGAGCACACGACTGCCGTCATATCCCATTAGCTAGCACTCAGTAACATGGCCACATGTAATTGCAAAGGAGATGGGCAATGGAGTCCAACTGTGGCAGCAAGAGGAGAAAAATGGGTTTGGTGAATAGCTAGCTTGTCTCTGCCAGTAACTGCAGATTATTTCAACAACAGATAAGCATGATCTGGTGCACTACATGTCAGTAGCCCTTTCCTTACTTTCTCACAAAATAACTGCAACAACCTAATAAGATTGGAAATTAGTATATCCAATTCAGAAACCTAAGGTCATGCAGTTCTTCTGAATGACAAACCAAGATTTAGTCTCTGTTCTGCTGCAAGACCTTCTGCACTATGCTGCATTTCTCCAAATAAAACACAACGTTGACGTGAAATTATACCCTAACTAAATTGTGATTATAACTTAAAATATCATATAACAGCCACATCATCAATAGAGTCCGCTCAAATCATTGTCCCACCTCAGCTTCCCCAGTAGCTGGGACTGCAGGCACATGCCACCATGCGCAGCTACTTTTTGTGTTTTTTGTAGAGAAGGGGGGTTTTGCCATGTTGCCCAGGCTGGTCTCGAACTCCTGGGCTCAAGCCATCTGCCTGCCTCAGCCTCCCAAACTGCTGGGATTACAAGAGTGAACCACCGTGCCTGGCCTCTTTCTCATTTTAATGTATAGCATTATACACTGATGTATAGCTCTGAAGAGATCATCACAGTCCCATATAGAGGAATCAGTATTCACTCTCATCACTCCTGTCTCATTAGTACTAAGAAGCACAAATAGGCATTTCTACTTCTAGAAGATACTTGAAAAATATGGTTTCTTTCTGGTACTGAAGTTTCCTAAAAATCAAAAAGAATGGTTTCATTTTATCTTTACAATTCTTTGGACACTAGAGATATCAGTCAGATATATCCATTTACAAGTGAATAATAGTAGCTGGGTTACTCTGTGTAAGAAATATACATATGTGTATATTCGTTTATTCCTCAGCATCACCTAATGAGTTAAGTGATTTTATTGCCAGTATTTTACTGCCATGGCTATAAAAGCATAGAGAGGTTAACCAACTTGACTGAGGTAAGAGTTGTGCATCGAAGAAAATTAAACAGGTCAGGGTGTTAGTGAAAGTCTCCAGCAACTTTCCCAGAGTTCACAGGTTCTATTTATTCTGCTCTGTGTGTCATAGGTTATTCCTTATTTCTCAAAATACCTTCTCCTCAGGGCTTTCATAATATCCCGTTCCTTTCTTGCAGCTTTGTTATAGCTTTATTGTGTGGACACGTTGACTTAAGCATGTAAAACCTAACAGTACCTATTGTTGCACTAAAAAATGCCTTGCTGGCCGGGCGCAGTGGCTCACGCCTATAATCCCACAACTTTGGGAGGCTGAGGCAGGTGGCTCACGAGGTCAAGAGTTCGAGACCAGCCTGGCCAACATAGTGAAACCCTGTCTCTACTAAAAATACAAAAAATTAGCTGGGAGTAGTGGCAGACGCCTGTAATCCCAGCTACTTGCAGGGATGAGGCAGAAGAATCGCTTGAACGGGGAGGCAGAGGTTGTAGTGAGCCAAGATGAGGCCACTGCATTCCAGTTTGGGCAACAGAGTGAGACTGTCACAAAAAACAAAACAACAACAACAACAAAAAACCTTGCTATTAAAGCATGAGGCAAAAGCCTAACTTAGCTGTTTCCTAAAGTAAATCCACAATTTATTTATACAGAAAAACCCTTTAACTTCTCTAAAACAAAAGGCATATATTCTACATAGACATATATTTGAGACATTAAGGAAACATGAATTTCCATTTTAGAAAACAATTAACTTAGTATCCTTTGTCAAATTTCTGGTGCCTACAACAAAACTGGAAACAACTGTAAAAAAATAGCTTTTGAAATATTAGTCATTTTAAGTGAGTCAGGCCCTAAAATAATTTACTTGGGAGTCAAAACTAGTTGACTCCAACCTCTCAGAAATAAAAGTCCAATTTGTTCATCCATTTAATCTACCATGACTCTACACTGATTTGGGAACTTGTGAAAAACAACACAAAACCTACTGGAAGTGAACTGGTCACTGGAAACTCTCTTTCTAGTCTTTCCTAGCTAAATGCTAGCTGTCATGTCAAGCAAAAAGTAATTTGTATACCAGCCTTGTGGTCCACTGTATTATGTAGGAAAGACAGTGAAATGGAAGAGTGAGGCTGAGGGCTCAATCATTTCATTTCTACTACCGAGAAACTAAATTATATAGAGAGCTTGAGGCTGAACTGAGGCTCTTTGGTCAGCTCAAAAAAGATATGCTGGAAGCATCAATGGGGAGTTTATATAAGGGTAAAATGAAGAGTTTCAAGCCCTCTCATTGCTAACACCATACACTTCCCATGACTGTTGCAAGTGGTTTTGCAGGTCATCCAGCACTAGTCTTTTCTTAGCCCGAACACGTTTAAAGAGGGAAAGGGCAGAGATCACACTGTGAATGTTTCTGAACTTCCTTGTCAACTGGGCGGAGGCCCTACCGGTTCAGGCACCTGCAATTTCCGCCCTTCTCCTTCCCCCTCTTCCGGGCTCCGTCCCCGCTCATCACCCGGCCTGTGGCCCACTACCACCGCCAGCTGGGGCCCTGGGAACCACGACGTCCCTCAAACCTTGCTTTTAGAAGACAAAAAGGTAATGATCGTCGTGTGTTAAATCACTGCAGTGTGAGGTCTTCACGTGAAAGCTTTATTTGGGTAGGAAAACCTAGCCTATGAGAAACGGGCCCGTGCGGTCACGCCTGACTGCCTGTCTCCCGGTCAGGTCTGCCAGGACCAGCTCCAGCCCCCCGCCAGAGAAGGCTGTCCTTTCCCCTCCGAACTCTGGCTAAACCGGCCGCGCCTCCTTCCAGGCCTGACCTCCCGCCAGCTCCGCCCGGCCCGGCCCACCTCGCCCCCGTCTCGGTGCCCACCCATTGTCCCCTCGCGCTGTCACCAAGCGCAGATCCCGAGCTCCCGATTGGAACACCTCCCCATCACTCAGCCACACTCCTGGGGCTGGATGCCTCACTCCGGTTTCCGAGCCATAAAAGGTCTAGGGCCGCTTCCCCCGAGCCAGCAGGTAAAGCTGCGGCGGCAGAAGGCAAGCCGCGAGCGGCCGCGCCCCCTGGTCGACTCCGCCAGGGAAGGAGAGCGCACCACACACAACCCTCCCTTGCCTTGCGACCGCGCCCTGCCCTCGCCCCAGGGCCCCCACCCTGCAAGTCCTGATCACAATGCCGGAGCCGCCGACCCACCCTCGTCATCCTGCCCCGAGACGGCCCTGGGACAGTGACCACCACGAAGCACGGAGGGCGGGGCGGGCCGGGCCTCGGGGAGGGGGGGGTGGGGGATGTGAAAGGTCCCGGATGTTGCTGAACGGTAGCCCCTTCCAGAGTGACTGGCGCAAGCGCAGACCGGCTGAGCGAAAGCTAAGGTGGGGGTAGGGGTAGGGAGACAGCTGCCTTCCCGCAGGCCTAGAGGTAGAGTGGGCCGGTGAAGGCTGCAGGCAAGAGGGCGTCGGGGACCTAAGGGGAAGGCGAGGAGTGGGGGGATTTGCGTTGGGGAGGAAAAGAAAAAAAGCAGCTTCCCGCCTAGGTGCACTCCAGACAAGCATAGAGGAGCTGGGAGCCGAGCCGGGTGGGGGAGTCGGGGTAGCGGGCGAGGACGCACGCTCCTCCGCTCGCCCTCCAGCGCGGGCGGGCAGGACGCGCGCCGGGGAGCGGCGGTTGCGCGGGGCCCCGATCGCTGTGGGCACTAATCAACGGTTGCCATAGCAGCGTTTGACGTCATCGTGCGTGTGGTGCCCCTGCTGCCGGGGCTGGTGATTGGAGGAAACCCCGTGTCTGCGGAGCCGCTGTAGCCTGTGAGCAGCGAGATCCAGGGACAGAGTCTCAGCCTCGCCGCTGCTGCCGCCGCCGCCCAGAGACTGCTGAGCCCCTGTCCGTCCGCCGCCACCACCCACTCCGGACACAGGTGAGGAACCCGGCCGCCGCCGCTCCCCGCTCCTCCTGTCTCAGGCCAGCCTTCCGAACGCGTGGGAGCCGTCCTCACCCTGTCCCCTCAAACCCGCTCGCCCCACTGTGGCGGCGCCGGGCTGAGGCGGAGTCTCTTCAGCAGACACGGGCGGCGGCTCCTTTTCCGCTGGGCTCGGGCGGGCGGCTAGCGGCCGCCTCCCTCTCCTTGTTTCCGTATCGACGCCCCGGCCCCGATCGGTGCTGGCTCCCCCGTTCCGCTCCCGGGGGTGGGGAGGGCGCCCACACGTGAGATCCCCAGGGATCCCCCGTCGCCTGCTCCCGAAGGTGGACGAGGGATGGCCGGGGCGCCGCCGGCCGCGATTCGTCCCCACCCTTGTTTCTGCGGGCTCCTACCCCCTCCCTCGCTGCCCTTCTCGCTTCCGCCCGAGATAATGACTCGGCGACGGCGGCGGCGGGCATCGCAGTGGCGCAGGTGAGGCCGCCTCCTCTCCTCTTCCTCTGCTGCCCTTTCCTTCCCCTCCCCCGCTTTCCCTCCCCCTCGCGCAGCCTCCGCGCTGGGCGCTGCGGTGGCGGGACCCGGCCCTCCCCCACCCCGGGAGGCGGCAGCGCGGCGGGGAGGGGCGGGGGGCCTCGGGGACACAGGCGGGAGGGAAGGGCCTGGCCGAGAGCTGATCGGAGCCCAGGGCCGGCCCGGCGGCGCCCGCCAGTAGAACCGGGCGAGGCCACGAGCCGGCGGAAGGGGAGCCCACCGCGGGGTGAGGTTTTGGGGTGGGGCTCGCCTGGGACCTAGAGCTGAATTTCCTGGGCTCCGCGGTGGGGGAGAGGGCTTGAATTTTCTTGGTGGGGGTGGGGGATGGGGCTGACTTTCTTTCCTCCTTATGAACCGTCAGGGAAGGCGCGGACTGGCGCTGTGAGCCCAGGATGCGGTAGAGAGCGGGGTGGGGATCCCGCGATTTGCTCTCGTGCTGGAGCAACTAGAACTGGAGGGTCCCTCCGCCGCTTTGGGGACGCACATCCTGCTTTGGGGGCGGGTAAGCATGAGCAAAGCTGCCGCTGGTGGCCCGCTCGGCTGGGTGTGGCTCTCGTCCCCTCCCCCACCTGCAGCTGTCGGGCCCTTAGAGACGGTGTACGCAGGCACTGGCGCTAATCGGTGGCGGGGAAAGCGCTGGGTGGGAGAGCGGGGTGTGTCCGCGACGGGGCTGGTAGTGGTTCCGCTTCTGCGGGCGTCTCTGTAGTCTCTGCCCCGGGGTCGGGCGGCTTCGCTCCCCCCACGGCTTGAGCGGGGGCGGGGGCGCGGGCTGCTCCTCCCCCTGGCTCCGGCTGGGGGGGGGGAATTAACACTCAGCAGTAGGTTGGGCTCCCTGACATAGATCCGCCATGACAAAGGAGGAGAGTCGGGGACTTGAGCGGAGGCTCGGGCTTGGGCGGAGCCTGGAGGGGGGTGGTTGCGGATACGCGGACCGGAGGATTTGCTCTTTAAAGTCCGGGTCTGTCCGCTTTCTTTTCACCCTAACCGACGTCTCAAGTCAGGTAAGGGTTAAATGGGTGCGGTGAGTCCGCCCGCAGTGTAGAGGCGAGGCCTTGGAGCAATCGTTACTGTGTGAGAAACCTTATCCACTTCCTCTTGTACCCAAGTGGTGGGGGAGAGAATCCTTTGTACTGGTTTTAAATCATTTTTCGTTAGAAGCAGAATTAACCAGAGAGCGTTTCTCAGTTCTTAAGCGAAAAATTAATAATATAGAGATCTGAGGAAAACCATGTCGTCATAAAGGTTAAATAGTTTATGTGTGAGCCAATACCTTGCATCCAGATTAGCTAGTTACTTGCTTAAAATGTGAGGACATGTTCTCTCATTTGGTTAAAAAAGTATTGTGGGATTTCCCTGGGAAGGTAAAAGATAATTAATATTGGGGAGTCAGCTCCCAAGGTGGGTGGGTGATAATAGCTCTTCTGTTCACCTTCTAATTTAAAAGATACACTTCATGTGTATATTTTCCTCTAAAGTCGTTTTCTGTGGTCTCACCGTGTGGATTAGTATCTTTGTGCTGTTTAACAACTTCGAAAAGGATGTCTTTCCAGAAAAATGTAGCTGAGGTAAATTGAAAAGGTCTAGGAAACTATAAGTGCGAGGGAAAAAGAATTAGGGGGTAGTCACGGTAAAGGACAGCTTGAGTGATAACATCCAATTATTGTGACGTTGACGGCTGGAAGCAAAATGCGGCACTTACACATTGCAACTGGAGCCATGACATTGGAAACACTTGTAAATTAAGTACTTCCAATGTGATGTATTTTAGTACTCACAGTAGGAGTTGAAGGGCCATGACTCGTGGGTATTTTTAAAGCATGTGGACATACAACACGATAAAGAGTTGAAGCATTAGGGTTAGTTAGATGTTGGTCCTTTGTGGTGGCTTTACACTAAAAATATCTGAGAACAAGCAGTTTGGCTATTCCTCCCCCAAATTGTTATGCTATGATCGGCTGGCAAATGTTGCAGAGATCTAGTAGATTTGGAGTGAGGGTAAAACTAAAATTTAATCACTCCTTGTTATGAAAGTAAAAACATGAATTACATTAAACTGACATGAATTATGATTCTGGAAGTATGATAGGAATCCAGATGTTCTGTAAGCAGTGCGTTTACAAAAGGAAGAAAAGCTGCTTAATTTTGTATCACTTAGTGGTATTGGAATTGAGTTGAGATTTTGGTCAAGTAAGATTAGGGCGGTAAATTTTAAGGCAGCTTTTTGAAGTGCTTTTGACCTTATGTGAGATGTGGATCTTCTGAATTGAAATGAGATAATGAAATTTTAGTTTTGCTACACTGATGTTGTTAATGGCTGTAAGTTTACCTCTGATGCTGAGTATGCTAAAATTTTTTTCCCTTTTCTGACTATCCTTTTGTGATGCTGCATTTTAATCATGTGAACAATCTTCCACAGGCAATTGTGTTTCAGGTTTTAATAAGGCTTACTTACCACAGGTATAATTTTGACTCTCTTTATTTTGATGGGAAAAATTTTAAATACTCCTTTTTTCCCCCCTGCAGAACATTCAGTCATGGATAAAAATGAGCTGGTTCAGAAGGCCAAACTGGCCGAGCAGGCTGAGCGATATGATGACATGGCAGCCTGCATGAAGTCTGTAACTGAGCAAGGAGCTGAATTATCCAATGAGGAGAGGAATCTTCTCTCAGTTGCTTATAAAAATGTTGTAGGAGCCCGTAGGTCATCTTGGAGGGTCGTCTCAAGTATTGAACAAAAGACGGAAGGTGCTGAGAAAAAACAGCAGATGGCTCGAGAATACAGAGAGAAAATTGAGACGGAGCTAAGAGATATCTGCAATGATGTACTGGTGAGAATTACCCATTCAGTCTGGCTTCATTATACTGTAGGGGTCCTATGAGTATCAGTTACATTACTCTCAACTTTTTCTTTGATTTTTCTTTTCCTTCTAACATTGTGTGTTGCAAATTTAGAAGTCTTCATGGTGTCATGACTAAAAAGATATTAATACAATTATAGATATGTTTATGTAGAATAATTGCAACAATGATTATGAAACAGTTGTTTTGTTAAAAATAATAGACTTTAGTATTCTATTTTATATTAATTGAAAAGATAAACTAATAGTATTACTGTTTTTCTTATGGTTAGAATATTTGTAGTAGCTCTGTAGCTGATTATCTTAAATGTACATCTATGGATAAAGGGATTTTGCATATTTTATGTAAGAGAGATGTAATAGGATACTCATTGTAGAAATAGTTCTCTTTGGATTAGCCGCTATAATGTTAATGTAATGAGTCAGCCATGCAGAAAACTGGCCTCACAACTATGAAGCCTCTTCCTGCATTGAATTGTTGAAAGTAAATTTTGAATACTCAACAACCATGATGAAAGGTTATGGATAACTCAAAGCTTGACTTTCCAGTTTCAATCAAGTATTTTAAGTATTCAGTACTTAACTGTGTTGAAGCACTGTACTTAAAAGAATTAAACTAAATTTTGGTTAATTTTAATCTGTCATACAAAAGCAAGGCTTTTTGATCAAGAATAGTTTAAATTTGAGGATAAACTATTAGAAAATCCAACCAAGCTGGCAGTTTTTGGAATAATGTTTAAAGTGGTTTTACTAAGTGGTTACCCTTACCAGTATGGCAGGGCTCTGATACACAAAGAGGGACAGCATTTCAATTTTTCTGGACAGGTTACTGAATCTGGGACTCAGTATGGAAATCCAGGTGTGTTACTTACTATATGAACCTTGTTTATGGAAGAATTACTATAATGAGTAATAGGATAATACCTGATGTGGTTGTGGGTTTGAGGTTTTTGTTAAAGTTGTGATGATACTATCATTTCTTTACACTTGTATCTACTAATGGAATAGCATTAGTTCCTAAACTGTATTTTTCTCAAATGGTATTTACTTCACACTGTCTTTTTAAAGAATAGTGATTTTTTTTTTTTAAGTGCTTATTTGAGTTCCCAGTCACAAACTCATGAGACATCTGTCTTGGGGGTATCTTTTTGTTTTTTGCTTATTGAAACCTTTACAATGATAGCTATTTATATCTAAGTTGAAAAACAGAATATCATGCTTTTATTGAGGCCAGGTAACAAATGCCTTTCTTGTGATTTTGCTAAGGTAATAAGAATATTTAAAATTTGAAAATATGATTTTTTTCTATAATAAAAAATGTATTGGGTTTTTTCCTGCTGTCCTTACTAACTAGTATCTGTGTACGTATAACTAAGTTTTTGTTCAGCCTGGTGTGTCTTCCCCAATTACACCTGATCAAAAAGTTTTTATTTTGGCTTCAAAGGATGTGTTACAAGTTAAAATTTCTCTTTAAACAAAAGTCAATTTTAGGAAAAAAAGGAATGTAAGTAACATTGACTTTTTACTAACATGCTTATTTGCAATACCAGGTAGGTATGTGCATGCTTTCCATATGCAAAGTATAAAAGTTCCTGTCATTGTCTTTTCCTAGGAAAAGACTTACAGCAGGTTTTTTTGTTTTTGTTTTTGTTTTTGTTTTTTGAGACAGTTTTGCACTTGTCGCCCAGACTGGAGCGCAATGGCATGATCTTGGCTCACTGCAACCTCTGCCTCCCAGGTTCCAGTTCAAACAATTCTCCTGCCTCAGCCTCCTGAGTAGCTGGGATTACAGACACATGCAACCACGCCCAGCTAATTTTTTGTATTTTTAGTAGACACAGGTTTCACTATGTCAGCCAGGCTGGTCTGGAACTCCTGACCTCAGGTGATCCACCCACCTTGGCCTCCCAAAGTGCTGGGATTACAGGCGTGAGCTATCGCACTTGGCCCAACTTGTAGCAGTTTTAACTATGCTTCCCTTTGGTTTCCTTATCAAGAAAATTTTTTTGCATAGAACCAGTAGGTGAGAATGACAAGATAATCTCTTAATATTAATAGCTTCTTTTTGTTAGGGTTATTAAGGAGGTTGATTCTTGTTCCTACTCAGGTTGTTACCCTCCAGAATAGCACTGGCTTCTCTAAAAGGTTAAATGGCATTTACGCTTTGAAAGTTTGGATGAATGAGAGTTTAATTCCTTTATTACACAAATGGCTTCAAAGAGAATTCTAAGCAAGCATTTGCTTCCTGCCGTAGTCTTTTGTTAAGAATATTAGTGATCTTTGCATACTCATAACGTGTAGTAGATGCTCAAATATTTGTTAAGCATAAAGGCTTCTTTTGAGAAAAAGGATAGAATTAGGTCAGCAGCACTGCAAAATTTCCCTGGCTTTTTCTTTTTTCTGCTTGGGAAAATTTGATATTTACAGATAGTAGGCTTCTTTTTCCTACCATCTTTTTCAAAGAGGTCACGTTGACTCTGGCAACATCTTGCATAAAATTCCTTTTCCCCTTTCTAGTGAAGTGGAAGAATAAAATGTAGCAGAACTGGTGTTTCTATTGGAAAAAGTTTTCAAACCATTGTACTTAATGATTAGTAAAAATGTTTTAATTATATTTTTAAGATCTTACATGATAAAAAATTGATATAATTTTTTATATATCAAAGCTCAAAAGTCTGGAGTAATAAAAAATTGATATAATTTTTTATTACTCCAGCCTTTTCTGAGCTTTGATATATATTTTTTTTAATTTGAGAAAAATAAGCAGGTTATTTCTTTGCAGGATTAACAGTATTGGCTGGTGGCATTAGTGATAACCAGCTTTTTTATATCGAGTACCTATTTTATAATAGCTACGAAAATACACTCTTTCTTCTACAAAAAGCAACTAATGTCCAAAGTTCTGAATTTTTTTTGAAGAGCTTCTGAGTTTTTCTGAAGAGCTGTGGTGTAACCCATTCTGGTTACCTGTATTTATTAATTGTTTAATAAGCAAAGAGCTGGGACCATGTTGCTTTTTACGAGAGTTAGTAGAGTATTACCATGGGAAGTGGTCACTGGCATGTTCTTCACATTGTGGACTTTTCATTATGTAAACGAACTTGGGGTTCTTCTCTTCCATGTGTTAATTTGAAACTGCAATGTGAACTAATGCAATCTGCCTTTCCTGCCAGATGCTTAGACAAAAGCTCTCTTGGTAGTTGGGGAGGGACTCAACACTGGTACCTCTTTAAACCTGAAAGATGGCAGCCAAAAATTGAGTAGTTTTTAACTTACACATGATGAAGTGAACACCAAGGAAATAAAGTCTCGGAGGCCTATTTCAAACTCAAAAGAAGTATGTCGAGGTGAATAATAGAGCTCAAGATTTTGAGTCAAACTAGTTTTACCATTTAATAGATGCATGGCCTGAGGAAATCACTTAGTCCCTTTGAGAAAACTGAGCTCAATTAAATAGGAATAATACTCATCCCACAGGGTTGTAGGGAGTGAGAGTCAGGTAAAGCACCTCGACTACCTTCTGTGTCCTGTTTATCTCAGCTTTTCTGTTCTGTTTAAAAGTGTGAGCCTGCCTGTAATAGCAGTGCAGGGGTCTCATTAAATCATAGTCCATGAATGGGATTTAGAAGATTGGTTTCTTCCGACTGCCCCAGAACCCACAGGAGCAGGCAGCTGGGGGTGGGGAGTCAGCCCTGGAATAGGGGCTGTGGCAGTTTGGGGGGACCCGGCTGTGTTGGCTGTGGGGGTGACGGCTGCGTTGGCTGTGGGGGTGACGAGTGAGTCTCAGCCTGGGCGGAAATGGAGCTCCAGGAAACTACTAAAGTTCCTGGGGAAGCAAAGTAGAATTTCATAAGAACAAAATGGATGGAGAGGAGAAAACCTATCTATGGTGGCTGTGAAGGCACTGATGCCGTATGTTAAATTGATATCATCTGATGGCCATGAATTTATTGTAAAAGGAGAACATGCATTAACATCAGGCATGATAAAAGCCATGTTGAGTGGCCCAGGTCAGTTTGCTGAGAATGAAACCAGAGGTCAGTTTCAGAGAGATACCTTCACATGTGCTATCAAAAGTATGCATGTGTTTTATGTACAAGGTTCACTACACTAACAGCTCCACCGAGATTCCCGAATTCCCAGTTGCACCTGAAATTGGACTTGAACTGCTGATGGCTGCAAACATTTCCTAGATTGTTATATAAAATAAATTATAATAAACTGTTAAAGAAAAAAAAAGATTAAGAAGCCTTTAAAATTGTGTATTTTTCTGGGCGGAAGGTCCATGTCAACCCTCAGATTTTCAAAATTTTATTTTAAAATTTAAAATCTGCTATCTGCGAAGAATGACTTTATTGGATGTCTAGGAGAGGAAGCAGTGTAAAATTGTGTGTCTAATATAACAGTTGGCAACTGCAGTTGAGTAACCTTAATAGTGATTCTGTTAATTTGAGTTCTGTTTTATTGCCGCTCTACATTTTTATTTGCTCAGGGCAATTTTAAGGTGTGGTTATGGGGCATTGATTGTATCTCCAGCCCACAGAACTGCTATTAAATAAGAAAGCAAGCAGCTTTTGGGTCTCTCTTAGTTTGAATATATTATTACATGCCTTGGGCTTTAAAAACTGCTATGTAGATTAGTTTTTAAGATGAAAATCACTAGGCAGCTCATTGGAATAGGGCTTCTCCAAAGAATTCTATAGTGTTATATCTATTGTTACTATTTTATTAAGATATACTGTATATTTAAATCTCTTCGTGGTTTTGGTATGTTTCAAAGTATAAAGAATTCATGTTGTGGTCTCAGGAAGGAAAAAATTGGACAGTGTCTTTGGTAATAAAGTTCAGTATTTTTTTTAATGTGAAGTGCCACACCCAGTGACATATTTTGTACAAATATAAAAAGTCTGAGGTATATGAAGTGGAAATCCTGAAAATAAAGGCAGGGAAATGGCCAGGTAGAGGCATTT